GTCACCAGCCAAGGAGTCAAACAGGAGTCCCCCAGCTCCACCATCTGGATCCAATCCCCTATGAAGGACCGGAGCCACTGTAGCAGAGTGCCCTCAAGCACCATCTTGGAGAGACGGCCCAGAAGGACTCCATTGTGGATGCTATTGAAAGCCACTGAGAAGTTTGGAGCTAAACCAAATATCTCTAAAGCGCTTTGAAGATATTTCCAGTCTCGGTTTAAAACTCCACAAAAGTTTGTCACCTTCCATGGTGGTCTCTTACTATATAAAGGTTCTTTCCAGTGTTTAGGTATACACTTTTTTCTTGTAATTTGAATTCATTTATTCTTTATCCAAACTGACCTTTTGCTCTTGCAATTCTCTCTGTGTTGGGACCAGCCTTATTAGGATCAGCCTTATTATTATTTAGATTGTTCTCTCCTAACCTGACCCTAGTGCCTGGGGATGATGGGGATTTTAGTACAGCATAGTTGGAATGTGCATTTTTTGGAGATGTGGATTGGAGTCCCAGGATAATTCAGTTTCCAGAGCTTAAGTATCTCTACTCCTAGTGTAGATGGATCTGTGAAGCTTATGATTTATGGCATGGTAGCCAACATTGCATAATGGTTTGAATGTTGGGTTATGGCCATAGAGACCAGGGTTTGGATCCCCACTCAGCCATGATGACTTTCGGCAAGTTACATGCTCTCAGTCCCAGAAAACCCCACGATAGATTTGCCTTTGGGTTGCAATACGACAGAAACTATTTGAAGGCACACAACATCAAGACACTGTTGAACAGATTTGGTTGTCTCGCTGATTCTTCTTAAAGATAGGATTTGTTTAATGCTAGACAAGCCTCTCCCATGCTAGACAGGGCAGACCTATATTGTGTTGCCTTTTAGATAGGAATCAACAGATAGCGATCAAGCCTATACTGGAAAAAATGACCACTGATTGAGTTATTTGATTGTGGATTAGACTGCTTTAAGGGAAGGTGGTTTCCTCTTGGCTGGAGGTCAGAGGTGTGAATAGTGCAGCCTGTGAGCCACATCCAAACAAATCAATATAAATCAAGTCTTCATTTGTGGTCCCCAAAACATCCTGGCAATCTTCCAAAGGGAAAGGTTTCCTCTTGACATTAAGTCTAGTTGTATCCGACGTTGGGGGCTGGTACTCATCTCCATTTCAAAGCGGAAGAGCTAGCGTTGTCCGTAGACACCTCCAAAGTCATGTGGCTAGCATGACTGCATGGAGCACCGTTACTTTCCTGCCAGAGTGTTCCCTATTGATCTACTCACGTTTGTATGTTTTTGAACTGCTAGGTTGGCAGAAGCCGGGGCTAACAGTGGGAGCTCACGTTGCTCCCTAGATTTGAACTGGGGACCTTTTGGTCAGCAAGTTCAGCAGCTCAGTGATTTAACCCACTTTACCACCAGGGGCTCTTCCAAAGCTCCCTGACAAATCACTCTGAGACAATGGAACCCATATTTGCGGTTTCACATATCCGCACCCAAGGGGGAAATGGTTTCCCTAGAAATTTGGTGATTTTATGGTATACTTTCCCTAGTTCAATTGAACTACAGTAGAGTCTCGCTTATCTGACATAAACAGGCTGGCAGAATGTCGGATAAATGAAAATGTCGGACAATACGGAGTCTCCTACTGTTACCCGTCCAACGCGGCATTAGACACGTAGAATACTAATAACAAGGACTCAAAAAGTTAAGTCAAGGCAATGCTTCGGGGTTGGAGCAGCCCAGCAGGAAGTGCCCGTATACGGAAGAGGAGTGTGGGAATCACAAAGGAGGGAGGACGCTTCCGATCCTGCCTCTTTCTTCCTGCTCCTTCTACTTGTCTTAGATTTTTCATTTATTGGGAATGGAGAGAGAGTTGGGGAGCACTCCTTTTATTAAAGGGGAAATGCTGGAGGAAAAGGGGAGGGTGTTGGATTAGACGGAATGTCGGATCAGCGAATGTCGGATAAGTGAGATTCTACTGTGCCTTGCAAACTCCTAGAGAATTCAGTGGTTTTGGATTGCACTCGCAGTTTCACTTAACCATGAACATATACCCAGCAGATACAAGGATCTTACTGAAATCTTCCATCTGAAAATTGTCTTGGAGAGTATGCCATTACGGTGACATTAAGTCACTTCCCATGTGCTTGGGCATGCCAGTGTGATGTTCTGGATATTGCTAGGCATGAATCTGGAATTAATGCTCTTCATGGAGGTATTTACACACTAGCCAGATGGACCACCTGTCAGGGATATTGTAATTACATCCTGCATTGAGCAGGGAATGTGACGAGATCTTACTAGTCCCTTTCAACACGTTTATGTCTAGAACTTTGTGACCTTGCTCTGTCTGAAAGGTGCAACGTTATTTAATGCTGGGCTTGTAAGGAGCCTGCCACCCTGACATCACCGTGTAGGTGCCGAAAATGCAAATGAGGCCTTTTGCAAAAGAGCGGGCGGTTTCTTTTGCACGCAGCAGGTGCATTTTGATTAATTGCGATGCATGAAAATGTGTACACGAAGCAAAAATTGCAGAGTGGCAACAGCATTGGGATCCTGTGAAATAAATCATTTCCCTTTCCCTCCCTGCCTTGCTTGTACAAACACAGCCGCCTCAGACACTCCTTTCCTTGGCCAGACTCCAAAGATAAACAGTATTTACTATGGGATCCTCTTTTTTTTTTCATCCTACATTTCATCCCCTATTAGGAAATGACTTGTACTCTTTCGGTTGCCATTTGTTAAAAGCACGACCTGGTGAGGAGTGTATTTTTGTTAATACTCACTGGCCTAATAACAGTTCCCATTGTCACCAGCTATAAAAAGAGTCGTGCTGATCAAAGAAAGATTGCTTTAGACCGTGATTCTGATTTGTACAATAACCAGTTCGGTGAAACTACTCTATTGTTTTTCTCACCTCTTAACATGCAGCTTTGGCTTAGGTCTGCGAACTAGGGAGGAAGAAGTAATATTAGAAAATATTTGCAAGACTTTTTAAAAACAGGTTTATTGAGTACCAGGAACCTTGATGTTAATCCTAGGTGGGCGAGAATCTTCACAGTTTGAAACTTGCTTTGTGTACAAAATAGTTTTGTCTACATCAGTGGTTCCCAACCTTTTTTCTCGCCCAGGGACCACTTTGACCAGGGACCACCTTGACCAAGGACCGCTTTGACCAGGGACCGCTTTGACCAGGGATCGCTTTGGCCAGGGACCGCTTTGGCCAGGGACCGCTTTGGCCAGGGACCGCTTTGGCCAGGGACCGCTTTGGCCAAGGACCGCTTTGGCCAAGGACCACTTTGGCCAAGGACCGCTTTGGCCAGGGACCGCTTTGGCCAGGGACCGCTTTGGCCAAGGACCGCTTTGGCCAGGGACCGCTTTGGCCAGGGACCGCTTTGGCCAGGGATCACTCTCCAACATTAGTACCAAAAGGGTTATGAATCAGTTTTTAGTCAACTTTAGATGCGGTTTGGTTAATGGGGTGCTGATTCAGCTCTAGGTTCTGATACAGAACATACGCCATCGAGTAGTTGCTATCTGCTCGCCCACAGAAAACCATATTTAATCATCTAGAGCTGATGTGGTTGTTGTAATCTTTTGTTGGTAGTCAGCCCCTCCCCTCCCAACATCCCTGTTGTCACAGCACTATAAGAGGGTTTTGGGGGACCGGTCACTCTGGTTGCCACATGGCTTCGAGGCAACGTTGTAGTAATGGCAAGGGAGTGGACCATATTTTCATTCTTGAGAATGGTGAGCTCTCGTCTGTTAGCTCCAACTTCCCATGTGGGGACAAGAGAGAATCTTCCCACAGGAAGGTAAAACATCTGGGCGTCCCCAGGGTAATGTCCTCACAGATGGCTGATCTCTCACACCAGAAGCAATTTGCAGTTTCTCAAGTCGCTTCTGACATGAAAAAAGAGATAATGTATTTAAAAAGACACAAATGAAGTGAAAAACTTGGCATTATGATTGCCTTTTTACCAGAAGCTCGGCCTTTGGAATGCATCTGGTGTTGCTATAAGAAGGTCATCCATTGTGCATTGTGGCAGGGCTCAGACTGCATTTTTCTAGGTGGTCTGTGGTTTGCTCTTCTTCACACCCACATGTCATGGACTCCACTTTGTAGCCCCATTTCTTAAGGTTAGCTCTGCACCTCATGGTGCCAGAGCGCAGTCTGTTCAGTGCCTTCCAAGTCGCCCGGTTTTCTGTGTGCCCAGGAGGGAGTCTCTCATTTGGTATCAGCCACTGATTGAGGTTCCAGGTTTTAGTCTGCCACTTTGGGACTCCTGATACCCGAGGTGTTCCTGTGAGTATCTCTGTTGATCTTAGGAAGCTGTTTCTTGATTTAAGGCATTGGCTTGCTGGCTGATATCTGAACAGGTGGTGCAAACAGTATAATTTCTCCAGTGGGGTTGGGCATAGACATCCTGTGATAATGAAGCATGTCTCATTAAGAACCACATCCACTGTTTCAACGTGGTGAGATGTATTCTGCATTGGGTATGCGTATTCAGCAGCAGATTAGCAAAGTGCAAGGGCTGATGTCTTCACTGTGTCTGGTAGTGATCCCCAGGTTGTCCCTGTCAGCTTTCGTATGATATTATTTCTGGCACCCACCTTTTGCTTGATTTTCAAGCAGTGGTTCTTATAAGTGAGAGCATGGTCCAGAGTGCAATATTGGTATATGTGAAAACAAGGAAGCATCTGGTGCTGATTAATTGCCTTTTGAACATTGCATCCACCCCTTTCCCTTCTCCATTTCTACCTTTGATGGTTGACCCAGAACTAGATAATAATTTAAAAATGGCCTGATACTTTTTCAACCTTGACTCTTGAGCTAAGAGTCACCTCAACTGATTTGAAGGAGAAGAGAACATCAATGTTGTCTTTCAAATGAAGACATTTCTATCTCCTTGCTCCTCCACCTCCCCTCTACGACCTTTCTCTTTCCGTCTTCTCCATGTAACCATCTCCTTTTGTTTTGTTTCTTCCTTCAAGGTCTCTGGGCTTGAGTTCTCAGCCAATCCGGGGGTTGCAGAAACATCTCCAAGGTTGTGGGATTTATCCAAACACCCAGAAGACTCCTGAGAATGCCAGCTGCAGACAAAATGCCTTCAGGGGGAGGAATTCTTCCTTTTGTACATTTCAAGAATTGGTGCACATGTAGCGCTGAAGATGGATTATTCTCTTATTATCACTGGAATATGTTTTTTTTTTGTGATCCCTGGAAGCAAAAGAAAACACAACAAAAGCATGAATCATTTCAATATAAGGCTGCTCACTCTTCCATGTCATGCAAGCATGTTGCTGCCCAGGTATGTAGGTTTCAAGAGGTTTGTTGGAAAATGATTCTCTGACAAGACATTCTGTGTTAGGACCAATATGCACATAAGGTGTCCAATGACCATTACTGAAATGGCACCTGAGAAACTATGCTTCTTTTCTTGTAAATTCCTTTATTCCAAGTATATTCCCGTGGCTAGAACAATGTCCCAAGGATGGGGAAATGGTGTAGTGGAACGTGGAACTTTTGATGAAAGGGGTTCATCATCTATCTCCCTATATCTAGACAACTTTGCTCTTCCTCCATGTTTAGCTGAAGTCTACACAGTGATTGAAGGAAGTCGTGTGACTGCTAGAACTGGCTGGTTGAGTCATTGTTTTTCCCTAGTGTTGGAAAAAGAAATGTGCTGGGAATCCTGAGCTGGCCACGTGTGTATTTATTTATATCTATGCAGTGGTCTACTTCTTAGTCACACATATGTTCACTGAATCATTGGAACCATTAGAAATATGGCCCATTGTGGTCTGCTATAGTTGGGGCTAGTAGTTGGATTTCGATTGTGAATATATTTGGATTCTGTGTATAGTTGTGAAAGCTGGACTGTGAAGGAAGCCAGTAGAAAGAAAATGTGTTGGAAAAGAGTTCTGTGGATAAAACGACCTGCTAAAATGCAAATAAATGGGTCCTATGGCAAATCAGGCCTGAACTTTCAGTTGAAGAGGGATGATTGAACTGTGACTATTGCACTCTGTTTATTGTGATATGTGACTGCATTTTGCATTGACTACTTCACCATTAACTATGGTGAGGAGTTGAGTTGCCACAGGACAGAGAGGAAGAGGAGGAGACCTTCTAATGATAGAGTTTCATTGAATAGAAGGGGCATTATTATTTATTATTATTTCACATATTTGTACCCCGCCCTTCTCAACCCCCAGAAGGGGGACTCAGGACGGCTTACAGCCGGCAACAATCTGATGCCCCCCATATATAAACAAATAAAACATCAGTTACTTAATAAGTAAAACATTAAATTAAATTGAATTGAATTAAAATCCATTTAAAATAGTACTAAATTGGTTGGCCATATCTAAATCCGAGTTCTATTACCAATGACTTAGTCCGAAGCTTGTCCATAACCCATTTTCCATAGCATTGTTATCATTTTTATCAGTCTCCTACCCAAATGCCTGGTCCCACAAATACGTTTTCAACTTTTTCCTAAAGGAAAGAAGGGAAGCAGTTGACCTAATTTCGTTGGGGAGCAAGTTCCACAGGCAGGGGGCCACCACCAAGAAGGCCCTGTCTCTTGTCCCCGCCAAGCGCGTTTGCGACGGTGGTGGGATCGAGAATAGGGTCTTCCTGGAAGATCTTAAGCTCTGAGGTGGGACATAAAGGGAGATATGTTTGGACAAGTAAGCTGGGCTGGAACCGTATCCAATGCATTGCGGGCATTAGGTACTTCCCACCCTAATAGTTCTGTGTGACGAAATTTATGGTCAGTCCTCATAGTTGTATTTGAAGCCATGAAGGGGAAAACTCTTAGATTTTGGATATAGTTTTGCCAGGTAGTGATGTGCGCAGTATTTGTTCCTTTTATTTCGTTTGTTGTTTTGTTCTTTTTGTTCCATTCATTTTTCACAAAACGGTAATGCCCCCTAAGGTACAAAAATAGGTCTGAAAACTGAAGAAAGCATGAAAAATAAGGTCTATTCACCTGCGGCAGGTACTGGCTTATTCAGTAGACACTCCTCAACAGTTCCATTTTGACGGGAAGCCTTAGCATTGAATGGTTGTGTTGTTAAAGTGTGAAGTATGGATCCCTGCGTAGATGGTCGGTCAATGCGACTTAAGCAACGTGCAGTCATTGAATTCTTGACAGTAGAAGGTGTCACCTCAACATCTTTAAATTTACTCACCCAATGACACACAGTACTCACATCAACACAATCACTATAACAGCTTGCATTCTCCGGTGAATCTCCTTTGGGATGATACCTTCTGCTGTCAAGAATTCAATGACTGCACGTTGCTTAAGTAGCATTGACAGACCATCTGTGTAGGGTTCCATACCTCACACTTTAACAACACAACCATTCAATGCTAAGACTTCCCACCAAAATGAAACCGTAGAGGAGAGTCTACTGAACTAGCCAGTATCTGCCGCATACCAGTACTGCCATCTATTGAGGAGTTATGAAGTTGGAGGCATTACTTTTCATTCAACCCTCATATTTTAGCAAGAGCTTTCATGGACACAAACCCATTTCTTCAGGTGCGGTACAGAATATTAAGGCCTCAGGTATAAAGGATATTTATATAGATGCAGGATTGGGATAGAATGTAATAGGACCCGGAAAGATGTCAATCATATCCTTTGCCCTAATCTTTCAAAGGATGATACAGTTCGTTCAGGTCTTGAGAGCGGTCCCTTAGTGCTGATGTGTGAAAGCAATAAACCTGCCTTCTGGAAGTGATGCCATTTATGCTATTTGATGAAACATGCATAAGATTGTTATATATGACCCTTCAGAAATTGAGCTTGTGGTGTACTTAAAGAAACTGTTGGTTTTCACTATTTTTCTATAATACTTGTGTGCATCCTTGTACCAAATGTTTGCTTTTCAAATGGAGAGTTTTAAAGATGTTCAGAGGAGTGGAACATGGAAAGACCTTGCTCGCTATTTGTTTTAGGTATTTTCCTTGTTGGTGCTCTACATGAGATGTCTCTCTCTTGATGAAGCCCAAACCATCTTGTGATAATGTATTGTCGAAGGCTTTCATGGCCGGAATCCATGGGTTGTTGTAGGTTTTTCCGGACTATATGGCCATGTTCTGGAGGCAATTTTTCTCCTGACGTTTAGATGCAGGCGAAACGTCAGGAGAAAAATTGCCTCCAGAACATGGCCATATAGCTCGGAAAAACCTACAACAACCCATCTTGTGATAAACAAGAGGCTAGTTGGATTTCTTAGTTACCTTTTTTTTGGAAGATGCCTGGTTGGATAATGGCAAGAGTACATGTAGGAAGCTGGATGCATGCATGGGTCATTGATTTCGCCCTGATGTGTGACTGAGAGCAAAGGGAGGAAGAATGTTGGCATGCTGTGAAAATGTTATTGTAGTGATTGTTGCCCTGGAGTGAAAGTGGAATTCTGTTCGTACCCAGCACAGCCAAACACGAATATCAGAAGTTTTGCCTACATTCTCCTTAGGTTTTAGGTCTGCATGTTCCCTTTTAGAAATAAGTTCATAGAAATCGGTGGGGTTTTTTGTTGGTGTTAATTGCTGTCAAGACAACTTTGGGTTATGTTGACTGAATCAATGAATAAGAGACCACCAAGTTGATCTATCCTCAATAGCTCATCTTAAGTCTTGCAGACTCAGGGCCTGTCATTTCCTTGATTGAGTCGATTCATCTGAGATGTAGTCTTCCTCTTTTCCTTCTTCCTTGCCAAGTGTTGTCTTTTCAAAAGGATCGTGGGGATGTGTTGGTTGACAGTGAAGAAAAAGAACATTAAAAAAAAAGAAAGGAGGGATGTTTTGTCGAAGGCTTTCATGGCCGGAATCACTGGGTTGTTGTAGGTTTTTGGGGGCTATATGGCCATGTTCTAGAGGCATTTTCTCCTGATGTTTCGCCTGCATCTGTGGCAAGCATCCTCAGAGGTAGTGAGGTCTGCTATAGTTGGTCCGACAAGACAGAGGTCCTCCAGGCCAGTAATTTGTCTGAGTGGGGTATTGGGTGGCAACCTGTGCTGGACGGGGTTGCACTCCCCCTGAAGTCACAGGTCCGCATCATTTTTATCTCATCCTGAGTTTTTATCATTTTATCTTGTTCATGTGGCCCGCTCATTGTGATTGTATTTTTGCACTGTTTTATTGTATTCTTATGTTTTATTTGCTTTGTTGCGATGTTTGTTTTGTGCTTTTGGTTTTATTTTGTTGTAATGCACTACTGGGCTTGGCCTCATGTAACCTGCCCCAAGTTCCCCTTCGGGGAGATGGTGTTGGGGAAAAAATAAAGATGATGATGATTATGTGGCATGTTTCATTAAGAGCCACATTCACTGGTGAGATGTACATTGTTCCCTCACTTATCACGGGGATTCCGTTCCAGGACCACCCACGATAAGTGAAAATCCGCAAAGTAGAGGCACCATATTAATTTTAATATTTATACATTATATATATATATATATATATATATATATATATATTATATTATATTATATTATATTATATTATATTATATTATATTATTTTCTTACCTGTGCTTCCTTACCCACCTCCCGGCCCATCCCAAGGGTGCCTGCCTGCCTCCCTGGCCTCCGTAGACCCTGGCAGAGCCACACAGCACTCCAAGGAGGCAGGCCTTCCCTACCGCGCCTCAGGCCACTGCACTTCTGGGATCCCTGGCCTCCACTGGACATAAATATTTTATATTTTTAATTAATATTTTCAAAAACAAGCGAAACAGCAAGTCCGCTAAAAATGAACCTCAAAATAGCAAGGGAACACTGTATTCTACACTGGGTATGTATACTCAGCAGCTGAGTAGCAAAGCACAAGGGTAGATAGATGTCTTCTCCATGTGTAGTTGTGATCCCCAGGCTGGTGAAACAGATGGTGCCCAACTCCTCTTGCCACTGTTCAGGGAAGCTATCATAGAATCATAGAGTTGGAAGAGACCTCATAGGCCATCCAGTCCAACCCCCTGCCAAGAAGCAGGAATATTACATTCAAATCACCCCTGACAGATGGCCATCCAGCCTCTGTTTAAAAGCTTCCAAAGAAGGAGCCTCCACCATGCTCCAGGGCAGAGGGTTCCACTGCTGAACGGCTCTCACAGTCAGGAAGTTCTTCCTCATGTTCAGATGGAATCTCCTCTCTCCTATCCATCGCATCAAAGAGCCATGGGTTCTGCTTTGAAGCATTTATCAATACAGTAATATTTTTACATTTTTTCCAGAAGTGAAGGAGAGCATCTCATTGTAGATTAACTCAACCAATTCATCAAAAGGCAATTCATGG